TTATTCTCTCTTAGAAGTGATATAGGCATTTCTTTGTTGAGCAAGATATATGCTATTACCCACCTAATTGTTATGTATCGTAGTTAACCCTTTTGAGCTTGTAATCCTGTTTCTTTGGTAACCACATTACAAGCCTTACCCATTTGTTTAAGTTGACCATCTATTTGAACCTTGTACCTCTCGTGAGCACTTGAATTTGTTATGAACTTTGTAAAAGTTAAAGTGAGGGGTGTTGGTTTGGCTTTTGAGTGGAACTATTGAACTAAGGAGAAATGTGCACTATTTTGAACAAGTAAGAGTTACTTGAATTGAAAAAGAAAGGAAAAGAAATAAGTGTATGATTTTGAAAACATATTCCTTGATAGTGGTGACTCTTGATATATTTGTGCTAAAAGAAATAGGGAGTTAATGTATATTGATGTGAAGGTGGAGTATTTGATTGACATGAGTATGGGGGTTTTGAATGGTTAATTGTATGTATTAAAGTGCTTAGGGAGGTGTAGTCACTCTTATATCTAAATGTATCCTACCCACCCTGCAACCTACATTACAACCAATTAAAGTCCTACTTGATCCGTGACTAAATGAGCTCAATTAGTGGAGTAGTACACTACGGGAAAGCCTATGGTACATCTTTTGTGGCACATGAATGTTGTTTCTGAGAGTGAGCAGATTCTTTCTATTTTGAGTTCCTAATTGTTCTTAAATTTCATTGTGTGTGGAACTACTCTCTATTGTTGTGTGAGGGCACTTGATTCACTAAGGAAAGGTAATGTTGTTGTCCTCTATGTTAGAGTAAGTGAGCAGGTTGTGAAACATATGTGGCGCTTTTGAGTCAAATCTTGAGGCGAGGATGTTACGGTATTGTGTTTAATCTGTTTTAAATATTGTTGGTGTGATAAGTTATGAGGGTTGTTGAAAGAGGTCATGTCTATATGAAGTATAGTTTAATTGCTCGAGGACGAGCAATGGTTTATGTGTGGGGTGTTGATGGTAGGCTATAATCTCGTATTTTAGTCACGTATAGCACTCTAAATCACTGCATTTTATTTGTGTTCGAGCTTTAATTGGTAGTGTTTTGCACTTACTGTGTGTTTTATTCCTTGTAGGAGTGATTCCGAGTTATGTAGATGTTGTGGAGCTAATTCGAGCTATTTGGAGCTTTGAAGTCTCAGTAAAAGCCCAAGGGATTAAGCCGGGATCGTGTTCGGGGGTCGAGGACTATGTTTGGACATCAAAAATCAAGTTTGGAGCCGTTGCACTACTGCGGTGCGTGGGGCGGCATGTGGTGCGCCGCAGCAGTGTAGTTTTGGCTGCCTGACAGATGGTGAGCTCTTTAAATTGCCCCACTAATTCCCCGCATGGCGCGTCGCCCTATGCGGCGCGTCTGTGCAATTTTTATTGAGTGAAAGCCCTATTTTGGCTAGGAAAGGGTGGTTTCGTCTAGGCCCAACTCTACTTGGTATAAATACATTGAAAAATATTATTTTCTAGACTTTTTCACATACTTCGGACCTAAGGAGGCTAAGGAGGTTTTGGAAGAATACAAGCACAAGGATTTCATCATTCCTTCCTCAATCATAACCCGAGTTTGGATCGAATTTATGTTTTCCTATACTTTAATTTTATTTGTGATGAATTTCTCCATATCTATGGAGAGTTCTATTTAGGGTTTGATGGATTTGGTGTATTGATGATTGTTTGCGCATTATAACTCTAGTTTTATGTATTGAATCATTTTTGGATGAATTAATTGTTGCATCTATATTCACTTGTTCATGCAATCGATATAGGCATAACTTGTGATATCTTGTATTATATTGTTGGTTGAGTTCATAAATTCTTCTAAGCAAGTGAAAGAGGCTAGTTGAATCGTTGATTAAACCTAGTTAGGAGAATAATCGAAAGAGGTTTTCCTAAAGACCAATCCATTACGCATTCTTGCATATCTTCACGTGCTTAAATTGGTTCATCTTGTGAGATTATTACTAATCGAGAGAGGAGGTGTTGCTGAATGTTATAATTGAGTTAATTCGAGAGACTCACTTGAACATTAGAAGTAAATTATCTAGAGTTAGATCCCGAACAATTATCTTGCACCTATCCTATCAAAACCCTATCTTCTCCCATTGATAACCTCCTTTCCTTATTCCTTGTTCGATTGTCATTAGTCAATAGCTTTAGATTCTTAGCTTATTTTAGTTAACCATCTTATAAATCTCAATTGTTGATCATCTTGGATAGCAACCAAGCTAGATACTACGAGAATACTGTTAAAATCCAATCCATGTGGATACGATATTATACTATACTATATTTGATTAGCGAGCAGAAGTTAAGTGTGTGTTTTGCGCTTCTCAAATTTTATTATGTTTAATTTTGGAAAGACAAATTAATGTGCTTGCGATTCCTACTGATCATATACATACTAAAAGTCTTGATTTCAAATGCTCTTAATATTGATAACCTATGATGATGTTTGAAAGTGAAGGAAGTGAATATGAAATATAAAATGTGGCCATCGCGCCAAGAATGGAAATTACACTTGTGGCCAATAGTGCCAATGAAATGAAAAGATTGTGTGAAAGATTGTTAAATGTGTTGTAACTCCTTTATATAATGAATGTTTTTGTGCATCGTTTAGTCACCGAGGAAGGGTAGGTTGAAATAGCCTGACCCCGAAACTACATGTGCCGGTGTAGGAGTGATTGAGGGGTAAATCTCCATACTGATATGTTGATATTCTTCCCCTTAATTGGGATGAAATTATTGCTAGAAGAATGTGATGTCGACCCACACGACATTGTGGTGAGACGGCTTAGCCGATCGGGCCGAGATCATACGCCATGTCGCACACATATGGTGTTATTATTGGATGTCTTGGGATGAGATGGCATAGCCGATCAGGCTGAGATCGGACTCCGTGCTAAAAGCACGGTGGTGTTTCGGTACTATAGATCTCACAACTTAATAATATTGATATTCACTTGAAATATTTTCTTTCTCTTAATTTGATGCTTTAATACTGTTTGAGGCCCTCGTTAGTTGCATGTTTCTTTCTCTTTGTATTGTTGCTTGATTCATTTAGAGGGTGTTTAGTCTTACATACTAGTACTATTCTATATATACTAACGTCCCTTTTTTCGGGGGCGCTGCATCTCTAATGGATGCAGGTGGTTCCACAGCAGGCAGCATCGATCAGTGATAGCGGTACACCCTCTCCTCAGCTGATTTGGTGATCCCCATTTCATATCCGGGTCTTGTATCTTTTGCTCCTTTTGTATAGTGGTTTGAGGTATAGCTAGGGCCTTGTTGTCGGCACTATCACATTACTCCTTGTATCCACTAGAGGCTGTGTAGACATTGTATGGGTTGTATCTTGATTTTGGAAAAGTCAAACTAGAAATGTTGTATATGTATCTCATGTTTCCACTTCTAAACTATGAATATGGAATGTATTTTGAGAATTACAAATGAAGTAACTAATGATAATGAAATTGGTGTTGTTTATGAAACTCTGTCATTGTTCAATGAAGGGTATGCATCTTCTCTTTATTCATAGGTAAGGTCGGGTAGAAGGCATCAAGTAGGCTTGCTTGACTGGGTTATCTCGGTTGAGCATTGGTCGCGCTCCCCAAGGTCAGGGCGTGACAGGACTGCTGCACCATCCCGAGCTCGCCGAGCTCCTGGGTAGCCTTAGCAGAACTAGCATGATTTATTTTTAAAACTATTTTTGGCATTTAAGACATTTTTAGTGTTTTGTTTTGAAATAATTACTCGAGACATCGAGCCGTACTTGTTGACAGGTTTAAGCTTTATTAATGCAACATTGCTTTTCATTTATTTATATTACATTCTTTTTCAGTATAATTATTATATATCCTGATGAACCTACAACTATGACATGTAATGAGACAACGCAACATAAGGAAAGTGATTCGGAAGATTTGGAAGATGATATAATACGTGAGGAAATTGTCAAAGAAGTAGAGAATTTTGAGAACAAACCAAAGTCCAATTTGGAAGAAACTGAGGCAATAAACTTAGGGGATTCTGAAACAGTCAAAGAAACTCACATTAGCATTCATCTATCACCATCGGAGAAGGAAGAGTACATCAGGTTTCTAAACTAATATGAGGAGATTTTCGTATGGTCCTATGACGACATGACTGGGTTAAGCACATCCATAGTGGCTCACAAGCTACCTACCAACCCTATGTGTCAACCAGTAAAACAGAAGCTCAGGAAATTCAAGCCAGATATGAGCCTAAAGATAAAGGAAGAGGTCACCAAGAAATCAAAGCCAAGGTCCTTCGGGTGGTCGGATATTCAACTTGGTTAGCCAACATTGTACCATTTCCGAAGAAGGATGGGAAGGTCAGGGGTGTGCATTGACTATCGAGATCTGAACAGAGCAAGCCCTAATTATGATTTTCCATTGCCCAACATACACATACTAATCGACAACTGCGCCAAGCATGAACTCCAATATTTTGTGGATTGCTTCACAGGATATCACCAGATTTGGATGGACGAAGAGGATGCCAAAAAGATAGCCTTCATCATGCCATGGGGAATATATTACTACAAAATGATGCCATTTGGTTTGAATAACGTCGGGGCTACCTACATGAGGGCCATGACTACTCTATTTCACGATATGATACACAAGGAAATAGATGTGTACGTGGATGATGTCATCATCAAGTCTAGGAGGAGTTCGGATCACATAGCAGACCTGAGGATGTTTTTTGATCGACTTTGAAAGTACAATCTGAAGTTGAATCTTGCAAAATGTGCTTTCGGAGTCCCTGCTGGAAAGTTGCTGGGTTTCATCGTCAATCACTATGGTATTGAGCTAGACCCATCAAATATCAAAGCTATTCAGGACTTGCCTCCGCCAAAGGTCAAGAAAGGTGTGATGAGTTTTCCGGGATGCCTCAATTATATCAGCCATTTTATAGCATAATCAACGGTAATATGTGAGCCGATCATCAAAATGCTGAGGAAAGATGTTGCGACGAGCTGGACCAAAGAGTGTCAAAAGGCTTTTGATAAAATCAAGGAGTACCTGTCCAAGCCGCCCATGTTAGTCCCACCAAAGCCCGGGAGACCTCTATTGCTATACATATTCGTCTTGGATGGAGCTTTTGGTTGCATCCTGGGGCAACACGATGAAACCGGGAGAAAGGAGCAGGCGATATACTATTTGAGTAAGAAGTTCATACCTTATGAAGCCTGGTACTCTTTGTTGGAACGCACATGTTGTGCCTTGACATGGATAGCCCAGAAATTGAGGCACTACTCCTGTGCATACACCGCATATCTCATATCGAGGATGGATCCGCTGAAATACATCTTTCAGAAAACCTAAGCCTACGGGTAAGCTAGCAAAGTGGATGATATTTCTAAGTGAGTTTGATATCATCTATATGACTCAAAAGGCGGTCAAGGGGAAAGCATTGGTCGATCACCTAGTAGATAACCCCGTAGACAGAGAATATGAACCATTGAAGACATATTTTCCCGACGAGGAAGTGTCATTTGTAGAAAAAGATATTGCTGAAACATATGAGGGTTGGAGGATATTTTTTGACGGAGCCGCAAACTTCAAAGGAACGAGCATCGGAGCTATTTTGGTATCAGAAACCGGTTAACATTACCCGATATCCGCCAAGCTCAGGTTCCCATGCACCAACAATATGGCAGAATACGAGGCTTGCATCTTGGGACTCAGATTGGCCATCGACATGAAAATTCAGGAGTTGCTGGTAATCGGAGATTCAGATCTGCTGGTACATCAAGTACTCAGAGAATGGGCTATCAAGAACACTAAAATATTGCCATACTTGCACTGTGTGCAAGATCTGATCAAGAGGTTCATGAAGATAATATTCAAGCATGTTTTGAGAATTCAGAATGAGTTCGTAGATGCACTGGCTACCTTGTCTTCCATGATACAACATCCAGACAAGAATTTTATCGATCCAATCCCGATAGAGATTCGTCAGCAACCAGCTTATTGTGCCCATGTTGAAGAGAAGTTCTATGAAAATCCATGGTTTCACGATATCAAGGAGTATTTGGATAAAGGAGAATACCTAGAAAATGCTACACACACTCAGAAGCGCAAACTTTGAAGATTGGCCAACCACTTCTTTCAGAGCGGAGGAATTCTGTATAGAAGGACTCCTGACTTAGATTGTTGCGATGTGTCGATGCCAAGGAGGCATCTAGATTGCTCGAAAAAATACATGCCGGAACCTGCATCGAATATGTTCAAAAGTGCCACAAATGCCAAGTACATGCTGATATGATATGTACGCCACCTAACGAACTCAATGCAATGATTTAACCCTGACCTTTCTCTGCCTAGGGCATGGATGTCATCGGACTGATTGAACCCGCTGCTTCCAATGGACACAGATTCATTTTGGTGGATATAGACTACTTCACAAAGTGGGTCGAAGCCGCTTCCTATAAATCTGTGACTAAGAAGGTCATAGCCGACTTCGTCCGAGATCGTGTCATTTGCCGATTCGAAGTACCAGAGTCAATCATTACCGACAATGCCGCCAATCTCAACAGTGATCTGATGAAATCCATATGTGAAACATTCAAAATCAGGCACCGAAATTCTACAACATATAGGCCGCAAATGAATGGAGTCGTGGAAGCTGTCAACAAGAACATCCAGAAGATATTAAGGAAGCTGGTGGATAACTAAAACCAATGGTGTGAGAAGCTACCATTTCTTTTTCTCGGATATAGCACCACAGTCTGCACGTCAACTAGGGCAACTCCCTATCTACTGGTCTACGGTACTGAAGCTGTTATACCTGCCGAGGTGGAGATTCCTTCCCTAAGGATCATACAAGAGACCGAGCTCAGCGATGCATAATGGATACAAAGCTGGTATAAGCAACTGGCTCTCATTGACGGTAAGAGGATGAACACAGTGTGTCATGGTCAACTCTACCAGAATAGAATGGCAAAGGCTTTTAAGAAAAAGTTTAGATCGAGGCAATTCACACTGGGGCAATTGGTGTTGAAGCGGATCTTCCCGTAATAGGACAAAGCAAAGGGAAAATTCTCACCTAACTAGCATGGCCCTTACTTGGTTCATCGAGTACTGACATAAGGATCACTCATACTCGCAAATATGGACGGAGAAATATGGCCAAAACCTATTAATTCGGACGCCGTCAATAGATATTATGTTTGAGATTGTATTTGCATTTTTTTTATGTAACATGAACGATGCTTGACCCGATTCCCGTTTAAGAGGGGATATGTAGGCAGCCTTGTGGATTCGGTCACATCATAATAAAATCTTCATTTCCCTATACGGTCATGAATTTTGAAAAGTTTCGAGTTTTCGACAATCTCATTACGTCAGGGATCGCTAAGAAGTGTATTGCTGGGAGTATACATTTAACTAGGGCAGAATTTTGAGGGGGGTCCTCAAAATTCTGAGTTAAGAAGGTCACGATGTCTCAAAGTGTGTCGCACTCGATAATTCGACAAAATTATTTATTTTATGCATCATCACATATTTTGAACAACTGTATTTCTTACAAATAATTTATCGCAAATGCATATTTTTGAAATTTCATTTCTGTAGTAGCCAGAGGTTACACAGGTTGACTTGAACAAGGCGTCAAGCAAGGGAGAAATGAGGAATCAAAGGCATGAACCAACCTTCCCCAAAACTTGCGATTTTTCTTTGAATGCAGGCATAACAAGAACGTACACAAATATATGCAACAAGATAACTATCTTGACATCGACAGAACTCGCCGAGCACAAACGCGTCAAGCTAAGAGTAACTTTGCTTCTTCATATTTGATTGTCGCTTTTCTTTGCATCGGGCTAAGCATTGCCCTCATAACTACATAGGGCTAAGCATTGCCCTCATTTCTTTGCATGAAGCTAAGCACTGCCTCCGTTATTGCATAAGGCTTAACGATGTCTTTCCTTGCATGATACTAAGCATTCTCTCTATTTAATTTGCATGAGGATAACCACTACCTCCGTTATTGCATAAGGCTAAACGCTGTCTTTCCTTGCATGAGACCAAGCATTGTCTTAATTACATTTGCATGAGGCTAAGCACTGCCTCTGTTATTGCATAAGGCTAAATATTGTCTTTCCTTCCATGAGACTAAGCATTGTCTCCATTATATTTGCATGAGGCTAAGCACTGCCTCCGTTGCCGCATAAGGCTAAACGGTGCCTTTCTTTGCATGAGACTAAGCACTGTCTCCCGCACTTTGCATGAGGCTAAGCATTGCCTCCATTATTGCATAAGGCTAAACATAGCCTTTCCTTGCATGAGACTAAGTACTGTTTCTCGTACTTTGCATAAGGCTAAGCACTTCCTCCATTATTGCATAAGACTAAACGCTGCCTTTTTTTGCATGAGACTAAGAACTGTCTCCCTCACTTTGCATAAGGCTAAGCATTGCCTCCATTATTGCATAAGGCTAAACACTGTATTTCTTTGCATGAGACTAAGCACTGTCTCCCGCACTTTACATGAGGCTAAGCACTGCCTCCATTATTGCGTAAGGCTAAACATTGCCTTCCCTTGCATGAGACTAAGTACTGTCTCCCGTACTTTGCATGAGGCTAAGCACTTCCTCCATTATTGCATAAGGCTAAACACTACCTTTATTTGCATGAGACTAAGAACTGTCTCTCGCACTTTGCTTGAGGCTAAGCACTGCCTCTATTATTGCATAATGCTAAACACTGCCTTTCTCCATATAGGGCTAAGCACTGCCCTCATCACATACAAGGCTAAGCGTTGCCTTGTATCATTCTCGCATATGACTAAGCATCACCTGTTCCCTTTATCAAGCAATCGATATCGCCACATCTTTGCAATTCATGGGCTGAAACATCGCTACATTTTCTGAAGGTGTCATAGTCTGAAGTCATCATCCTCAAAGCCTAAAGGCATCATGCCATGTCATAAGGATCTCTCGAAACTGCATATCATTATTCAAAGGCGTCATAGTCCAAAGGCACCATCCTCATGGCCCGAAGACACCATCTCATGGCCTGCAAATCCCTTATCATATGCTTCATAGCCCAGGACGTTATGGTCTAAGCACATCATCCTCATCGTCCGAAAGACGACTCTCATGGTCCAAAGGAAATGTGCATCATGTTTAAATTTCCACAATAACTACATATATTCACATTACTCGTGTTTTAAGTTTTGCATGTAACTCAGGAGGTAACTGTTCTAAAAATACGAGCAATTCTCGCTCCGATTTCCATTCACAATGCTCGCATCCTCTGATTATCTCAAACATAACCGATGATCAGCAATTGATTACTATTTATTCTGTAACCGCCCAAAGATTTATCTCAAATATCTATAACGTCCAAATTCACATTCATAGCTCTACCTGAAAGCATATGTTACTCATGACACTATCCTATCCAAAAGATCCTTTTACGAAACATACGACCACTCTTACAGCAACTCCATCGGTTTCGTTCGTTGTTTGATCCAGAACTACACACGACCTGATTCTCGTAACACCAGGGATATGTAGGCAACTCAGGAACCAGGATTCGACTCCATGTTTTCAAACACACCTCATCCTCACTCATTTCGAACCTAATTGGTCATCATTATTTTTACCCGACAACTCTTTTATCATTCCCGGGTAAAGAGGGGCAGTTGTTGATACCCAATTTTTTCTCATATTTATAAAGTATTTTATATACTTTCAAAATAACATTTTGCATTATTACTCAATTTACAAGAGTTAAATAATTATTTTTTATAATTTTAAAACTTTAAAATTGATTATTTTGCATGTACTTTGTTTAAATATTTATTAATTATCTCTTTAGATTATTTTTTAAGATGATTTAATCATGTAATTTATCATTCCTTACCTTTATGCATTTTATAATATTTTATCTCTTTTTGCATAATTATATTTGTATTTTTCTATTTTATCTATACTATTTACAATAATAGCCTATATTTTATACATTATTGTAATTATTATATTATTTATGCTAAAATAGCATTTTTATATTTTTAAAATGTTAAGATATTACTTTTACGTATTTTACTGCATAAATAATATTTTTATTATTTATTAATTATTTTAACGAATTATTTTTAATAAATTTCGTGTATTTAAATTGTAGCCCAATTTTGAGCTAATTTTCAGACAACTTCAACCGCCCAAATTCCCAAAAACCCCTGGCCCAGTCTTTTAGAGCAAACCAAACAACCCTTTTATTAAATTCGGTCGCGACCCGTTCTAATTAACCTGCCCCGATCCCCTTCGATCTTGGCCATTGATATTAAATGATCAACCACCCATAATAAACTCATCCCTTCTCCTTATATCCCCTCGCCCTAACCCTAGAGATCATTTACCCGTTCACCCGCCTCTATACTCTGTCAAACCTTCTCCTCTCTTTTGCAAACCCTAGCAGTCGCCGCCTAATTTCTCTCTGATTTCGATCTAGAAATAGAATCAATCTACGATCTACTTACCTTATTAGCATTCTCCCATTACTGGTCGTCCGTTTATGGTATTATTTAGGTACTCGCCTAAATTTTGCGAGTACCACTTCCAAGATCATACTAGGATGACTTGAATCTTTGGGATTTGGACGGTACTCCGTCCATATATGCTCGACAAGGAACGATTTGCACCTTTGGTTCGATTTTCAGACGGTTGGACCCAACTAGGGTTTAAGACTTTCCATCTTCTCTACCGTTTCTGATTTGCATGAGATATTTTCTTGCCTTATTTATATTTAATTGATTGTTTCCATGTTTGTTTGTTCAAATCGATCACTATATAAACCCCCTTCCCCGTTTGCCCTCTAAGACTTTAACGACTGCTATTACTCTCTCACTCTCCCTCATTCTACTATTCTAAAATTTGAGACCTTGGTCGGCTGGAAGCCAAGGCCAGCGGAATTCGATTGTTGGTCCTTTCTCAGCGTGAGCATCGCTCGGGGTTCATTCGAAACCCTTGGGAACTCTGACGTACTGAGATTCTGGGAGTCCTGTTGTTCTCTCCTTAATATTGCTAATTGAGTTGCTGCCGAAACTTAATTTTTTTGTTCATTAATTTGCAACTGGTGAATACCT